CTGTAGGGTTCAAACCACTATGCTATGCCAATTATGTCATGGAATGTGCTGAATTTTTTGTGGTATTGCAGTGTTTGCTTAATTAATTTTGTTTTTGTGGTATTATGGGGTTGACATTATCCCAATGTCCCCCTGATCTGGGCTTGTGGGGTTTATTTTTATTTTACTTTTTTTTTTGTTAAGATGCCCTGGGATGCAAAGATTCTCTTCTCCTTCTACTTAGTGAGAGCCAAGAGGGAACCTAATCCCATTGTGCATGCACAAACTACATTGACATCTGCTTGTGAAGCATTTACTTTTGGCTAATTTTGATTTGTAAAGTTCAACAAGGTACTGAGCGACCAGAAAAAAAAAAAACAGCTGAGTTGAAGTTAACTTGACTTTATTCAAGACTATGCTTTCTAGCATATGCTAGCTGCAGATAAACAAACTGTTTTGGAGTAATAAAACAGCACTAAAATCAAGCTCCTTTGACATTGAATGGCTTGTGAAGGTGAATTGATGTACAGCTGTGCAATAGTGCTGAACTGTACAAACAGCAAAAGATCAAACATTGCCAGTTATTTGTCAGACAAAAGTTTAGAATTTTGATATGTTCTGACAAACTCGTGTCAGTGCAGTGTTACAATTTTTATTGTGTAACCAATTAAAGGGCGGTGGATATTGTTGCCAGTAGTCTCATAAATTGACAGTGTTTCAAATTCTATCTGTCATGCATATAACTTTTCAACTGGTTAAAATTTGTCAAAACCAGTATTTTTAATTTATTTGTCCCTGATTGTGGACCATGGCTGATCAAAGGATCAAGCAGAGGTTCCCTCTCATCTCTCGCCAAGCCGGAAGACAAGGGAATCTTGCAGCGTATGAATTGAGTCTTGAATTAAGACTTTAAATAGTGAATATTAAAGTTTTAGTTGTTTGGAATTCTTGTTGACCATTGCACAGTGATTGTCAGTTGGTGAACAACTGAAAAAAAAAAATGCTTCTGAAAACTATTTTAAACGTTATTTTATTACTTTGTTGTACCTCCCAACTCAAATGCATTTTCTGATTGGAGGAGAACGTGTCATGGGTCAAAACTCATGAACTCCCTAGCAGTTGGGTGAACAAAACCCACTAACTCCATTGGGAAACAACAACTTGAACTTCCAACTTGCACTTGTTCAGGCTGTCCACCTTGAAACCACAGCAAATTTATGTTTCCAGCTGGCATCAAGCAAATACTTTTTTTGCAGTTTTTTCTATTTTTGAGTTGGGAGGTATAACAAAACACTTAATGACTGGCCCCATGGGATTTGCATTGTTTTTGAGAGGTTTTTCAAGATGTAACTCTTGATATATATTATATATAAATTATATGACCTTGCTGAATAAAGCCATCTTGTTGCTGGTACTTGTTTAGTATTTTCCTTGTTGATAAAAAGTTTGAAAAGTAAAACGGGTTGTCGAGGTAAATTTCCTTTCTTCATGTGTCTACCAAATTGTAGAAACAGTTTTGAATGCTGGAGAGAACTTGAAATAATCACCTATGGCTTGTGTTTCCATAGCATCTCCACTTCCCTGAAATGTCTAGTTGTCTCTATAACCATCTCTGAAACATTGTTAACATTTGCTGTCAACTGCTATGCATTTCTGAATTGAGGATCTCTGTAATCAAGCTTCAGTTTCTCAAATATCTCTTGTTCTGATCTGGCTTCTATTTGACAAGCAGGCTGGAGGAAAAGCAGTGAAAACAATTATATAAAGGAAACTGATAGTTGAAACAGATGGAGTTGAAGATCTGTTGGCAAGTTGAATGCAACTATTGTTTAAATTGAATGAAAAATGTTCACAGTCTGTGCAGTGAATTTTAAATTGAGATGTCTGGGATTCAGTCCTGGTTTGGGTTGAAGTTGGGAAAGACTCACATTTAACTCTGACAGGACTTCAGGGTTGCCACTGATGAAGAAATGGTCAGGGAAAATAGCATTCTTCAAAGGAAAAGTCAGAAAATTTAGTTTAACTCAGGGAAATTAAGAATTCAAGGAAAGACTGGAAATTGAATAACACTATAAAGTACTGATTTTTTACCATTGAAGACTGGAAGAAACAGTTGAGATCACTGTAATCTCAACAATGTTTTTCCTTAATGAAGAATGATAACTGTTGCTGTCAAGGTAACTACGATGGCTTTAAGTGGAGGCTGGAGGCCATGTTTGTAATTTATCTTTCATGTCAGGGAAATTTTATGTTTATCAGGGAAAAGTTGGGTAACTAATTTTTGAAAACTAAAATCTGTGGCAACCATGGACTTGACAGTGCCAGTCTTCACCCGAACAACTTGAAAAAATGCTGGTGGGGGTTAAACTGTGAGAGACTAGCATGTTAAACAAGGGGACTGGAGTTACTGAAGTAATATTATGGATGGTCTCTTAAATTT